GTCTGTCGGGTCCCCTCCAGTCCCCCCCGACTCCGTGCACCCTCCCGTCTCTGTGACCAGGGGATCGGTGGGTTGGCTTCTGTCAGCAACGCCAACGCGTTTTGTCAGACGCGAACTCGATCTTTGTTTTGCCTCCGGCAGCCTGCAGGTGCGTGCCAGTGAGTGTAGCCAGTGGCAGGAGCAGGTACTGGGGTTAAGACCCAATCGGGTCCCACAGTCTGATCAAATCATCCCTGCCACAAACTGGCAGGCGGCCACAGCTTCAAATAATCCCTCTTCTTTTGTCTGCGCAGTGGAACTGCCCGCACAGTGCAAATCTCCACGAACGCTGCTAAATCTACCTTCATTTAGTTAACAAAGCAGCTTGCCTGTAATGTCTCTCATTTACTCCCACCCTTGTGCTGCAATATGCTCGATTGAGACTTCACATGCTAAACGTTCTGTCATTTCTTGCTCGTTAATGCTCACATTAGAAAATATTGGAAGTTTACAGGCATGTGTACAGTTTAAGGAGGACAGCTACACGAGAATATTGTAGCTAGTGTCATGCTTTACATATGCTTATACTAAGAAAAAGCTTGATTTTTTGTATGAATACAACTAGTCTAGATGAAATTGTACTAAATAAAATATTTTTACAGTAATGCTCACTGTCCATGGTCAGTATCTTCTTTAAAACTCATGATTGAGGTTCTGTTGCAGTGACAGTTTCTTCTTGAACCAGCAGTCTCAGACATTTCACTTTTTTTTGGATGGGAAAATTGGAGCCTTTTCTGCAGTTATTCAAAGTTGGAAAATGACAGTGCGGTGTCAGTCTGATCCCGATGGAGAATTGTTCCATCATTTCTTGATTCAACATTTCCGCTTGACATGGACTCAAGACATTTGCAGTCTAAGGATTTCTCTAAAACAGCAGTATATTCTGTAATATAAATATACAAATCCTGTCCCTACCAGACAACATAAAGTGATGTATTGTTGCTCTGTAAATATGGCCGGTTTCAGGGGGTGCTTAGTTTTTGACTTGGCTACCTGAGTGCTCTTCAGCAGTTGTACCACTGTCCGCAAGGAGCCCAATAAAACAAAATGGCAGCATTTGACTGGATAGCCATCACTGCCGAGAAATTAAAAGTGGAACCCGCGTTCTGCCGATATCCCTGTCTGGTTAGCGCTATGGCAGACGATGCTGAGAGTGAAGAGGAGCTGCAGTAAGTCCTGTGCTGCCTTGGCAGCAGAAGTGGTGCGTTATTGATCTCCATTAGAGATTTCTGTTCCTGACACTGGCAATATAAGAAGGTGTTATTGGAGCTGTCCAGTAAGCTAGGTATCTCTCTAGTTGTTGACATTGAGTAAGTGACTTTTTAGTAATTGTTTTCCAATGCTCCATCTGGCTTCACTTCAATACACTTTCCATGATTAACAGTTGGGTTTCTTGGAGACTGTCGCCCTCCTCGATGGCTTAATAAAAGCGACAGCCTGTGGTTTGCGTTTTGTAGATGAAGTTCTTGCTGTACGCGCTCTTGTTTTGTTGTGGAAATATTTCACCAAAATCTGCTACTTGACCAAAGGGGAGAAAAAAAAAATCAATTGTTTCAGCATTTCGTTTTGTTAAATAGACTGGGATAATAGCAGGGGGATTTCTAGCAGTCAATCCTTTTGGCTTCAAAGGGGAGTGTGATGCTGCCAAGTTTTGTGCAGTCGCAGAGGGTGATACTGTGTGAAGAGGGAGGTACCTCGCAGGGCATGATTGAAGTGGTGCTTTGAGCTCTACTGCCAAGAAGGAAGTTAATGGAGAGAAAAGCCTGGCTGCACAGAGAACTAGTCTTCTGATACCATAGCGCCGTTAGAAGGCAGAATGAAATCTTCATTGTTATTCGGGAGTTTATTTGAGCATAGGTTTATAATATTTGACACTGTGTGTGATTATTTGTGGTGGTAGTAGAATTACTAGAAAGGGAAGTAGCATTCACGCAACAGGTATGTACGTTATGTGTTAAGAGGATACTGTACGTGTTTGTTCGTGTTTTTTTGTAAATCACAAGCCCATTAGTATTAATTACTGCTGCGTTTGGAAGAAGTACTGGAAGATTTGGGAGATTACTAAATTGTATCGTGTTACAGTACTGTATGTGTAATTTGGAATAGATGTTTATTTTTTGTAGACTACTGAAAATGTATGTCGTGCATTGGAATTCCCAATTAGGGTAAATGATAAAATTCTGTTTTCTGCAGAAATGTAAATGTACAACTTTGGTGATATACTGTAAGATATAGAGCTGAAGACTGGTATTTGCTGGGATATTAGCTTTGATAAGTTCTCAGAAAACATATGGTTTCTCTGAGAGAAGTGTTTATTCCTTTTTTTTTCTTAAGGAGAGAGTGAAAACGGATAGAATTATTCATGACTGCTTTGCTCCAGTCATTTCTGTATTTTAATGACAAAGCACCCTGTGAGCATGACTTGCCAGATGGTAAGTACTGGATACATTTTTAAATGAGGTTTGACAAAAGGCGAGGAGAAGCCTGTGTGCTGAACACATCCCTCCACCTAAGCAGATTAATTATGCGCACTTTCTCATATCAAGTGTATGAAATACTTACAGTAAGACTCGAGGGAAATTATATCAAGGAGTCTAGAGATAAATGCTGATTTAAAGAATGTCAGCCCTCTGTTTTGTTTTGTTGTTTTTTTTTACTTTTTCTTACATAGTACTCCAACAACCCCATCATCACTGTGAAGCCACATTTTGTCACATCTGAACTAAGTAGCCTGACAATGCAACATATTTATGCCTTGCAGACATGAGAGGTGTCCCAAGAGAGAGATTAATCTGCCTGCAATGGACTAGTGTCCCTTCAAGGGTGATCCCTGCCTTGTACCCTGTGTCTTCCAGATTAGGCTCCAGCTTTAATGTCCAAAGTACTGGACTAGCAGCTGTTGAAAATGGGTGGATGGGATATTGATCTGATGCCAAAAACGTAAATCTTTACTCTGATCCTGAATATCTTAAATTATTTCAGCACTTCTTTGCAGGGATTATATTTAGTTTTAAATGAATCACTCTTCTCTAATCTCTGGGATTTTGCATAGAGAAGCCACGTGGTATGTACTCCACCCATTTTCTGACTGCTTCTTCCAGTTCAGGGTCATGGGGGAGCTGGAGCCTAGCCTGGCAGGCAGCAGGTGCAAGGCAGGGCACACCCTGGAAGGGACACCACTCCCTCTCCGGGCACACACACACACTCACGCCAGGGCCAATTTTCCCAAAAGCTAATTAAGTGGAACCAGAGCACCCAGAGGAAACCCAGATTCACATGGGGAGAGCCTGTAAACTCCATGCAGGTAGCATCCCAGGAATTGAACCCAGGGCCCCAGCACTGTGAGGCAACAATGCTGAAAACAGTGCTTCCCATGGTATTTACTTCACAGCTCAATTGGTATATATACTAAAGGCATTAAAATACAACAATAATGGTAATAATACTCAATTTTTATGTTTTTATTGTCTCTTACTATAACAAAAATAACAACATTGTCCTTCTAACAGTTTCGGCTGTAGATTAGAAAAAAACAGTAATTAACCTTAATTACTCTGAACTCTCTGTTGGTGTGTAGATTACTATTGATTTTTTTTTAAATTGCTGTAGCATACAATTCCCCGACAGCACTACAGGCTTCAATACTTGAGTAAGCAATGGGGTATGTACTGTATGTTCTGATAGTTGGTTGCAACTTGGTTTTGTAGCCAGAAGACCAACATTGTTCACATTGAAAATGGGAAGGAAGCAAAAGGCTTATCGTATCCGATCTGAATTGTGCCCATTGTCCCATTAACAAAGCTCACCGGGGTCAAGGATGTGTTCCTCTGGAGGGAAGAGGTTGAGGTGAAGGCGTAAGTCTGAAACTGATAATCCTAGTAGTCTGTTAGATTCATCTGTGACAGAAGGCGCCAGAATTGTAAATTCACATACAGGTTATCTTTGCATGCAGGGGGCAGCTATCCAAACAGTTTACTACATCATAGGTCCGTGAGGAACTTCCCCTTCTGCCTCTGCCTTTTTTTACTTTGGAAACGAGTTAAAAACGAGAGAAGCTGGTAAAACACGATGTGGTTGTTTCCTGTAGAATTGCCTGAGTAAGAAACTCATGCCTAAGTCTGAGCTGCTGGTGATATGCCGTCTCCCTGGTCAGGCAGGACAGTGGGTAGGAGTCCTTTTGACAGCTGTTTAGTTTATGACAGAGAAACCTGATGCAATAGGATCTCTAAAACTGTTTTCCATGGCAATACAAGATTCACAGGACTGGTTTTGGTCACTGTGGAATATCCGTCTGTCTCTGGGCTTATTAAAACCAACAGTATTTTTTTTCAAATACACCACAACAAAGCAAAAATAGCATAACTTCAATGCTTCTGCTGAATATCCAGTGTCAACACTTTCTCTGTTTCAGGTGTATTTAATGCATCTTTAGTGATATTACCCTTTTGTATTATTGTTTTCTTTCATTCCAAAGCACCACTGTGCCTGTGGGCATTATCATCTTACAGAAAAGACATTGTTGGACTGACTTAACAGAAAACACACCCCTCAGCTGGACTTCAAAGAACCCTGAGCGAAATGATATCCTACATGCTTACTGCAGAGACTGACTTAGGACATGACAAGGACAAAAATGCATCTAGGCCATTTTCTTGACAGTTTTTTTTCCATGAAAATTAATTGACTCTTAAAATAGGCTGGAGTATGAAAAAGCAGAATTCTTAAAAGCAGATTTCTATAAAGATTAATTTTGTCAGCAAGTGGTTTATCAATGCTGGAGGGCAATTTAGCCTCAGAAGTCATTTCACGAGAATGAATAGGTTTTCAGTGTTGAAGAAATTTTTTTTTAACCTAGTCCCAAGCCTTTCAAGTGTAAATCACCGATTTAAATGCATCAAGTGTAACACTTGCAGTTTTCTATTGTTCTTACTCTATAATTGTTTTTTTTTCTCATCTTCCAGGTTACAGCCGTTGATTTCAGCTCAGCCATGCAAGAAACGTGCAACTGAACAGGTAGGTCCCTTGTAGCCTATTGTGAACCACAGTCCTTCTAAACTGCAGTCTTAATTGTGCTAACAGTTTGACACCTTCATTCCTTGACTGGCATCAAGGTTAGACATCTCCCTGCTCCAGACCTGCAGTAATGTAGCAGTTATGACAAGAGGCGTTTAATGAGAGGAACTGGAGATTACTATACAGAAGGTGTTTACTGTACAATGACTGTAAAGTGACCTATAGCTCTTACAAATATGATAATGACTTACACTGTGCACAGTGAGCCACGTGATTAGTAACCGTACGGACAGTGCTATCTCCCAAACCTTATCCTACATGCTTACTGCCTGCCTCAGTGTGTTTAAGTACTGACTCATCAAAGCCTTGGAATACTACTCTGGTTAGCAAATGCCATTATCCTGGATGAGTTATAGTCTGTACAACAATACTTCACATAAATGCAAAAAAAAGATTAATTCAAATACAGGAGAAGAAAAAAATAAAGAATACAAATGACAAAAATAACCATGTCAGGCAGGCGTGTTGTTGGAAGTGCAGTGCCAGTAAGGACACTTACCCAGGTGCAGGCTGACCTCTATGATTAGTTCGAGCCTGGGTCCTGTCACTAAGGCACAGTGACTGTCAGTGAGGCACAGACTTCCTCCAGTTGGCTATGAACCTCCAGTACGGGGTTGTGTAGCCTGTGATATGTGAAAAGACAACTGGCTGAAAGATGGGCTTTATAGATCAAGATGATCTATAAAATTTCTACACTCACTCAGTTTCCCCTGTGTGCAGCTGTGGGAATTGTAGCTGAAAACTGGGATGTGAACAAAAACACAAAACATCGGTGAGTCCAGTTATTGGTTAAATGGTCATCCATTTAAAAACATACAGTATCTGTTCAAAGCAGAGTGAAACCCAGTTGAGCAGTAAATAAGGAATGCCGTTGAGCAGAGTTGGCAGTATCGTTTGGTGGTAAAAGCTCATGTCAGTGCATCACCAGTGTCCTCCGAAAAGTATTGAGGGGATTGCTGAAAGGCGGTCGGGGAATGAGCAGTTCTGATTTCGACGGGTCGTTCTTTCCATCTCTGCCGATCCCGTGACAAGGCTGAGCAGTCCCTGGAGGTGGGAGAACGGAGAGGAAGAACACAGAGGAGGAGTAGGAGCAGGCGGGAGGAGGTGTAGGGAGAGATCAGGGACTTGAGACTAGAACAGTCTGAGTGGTTACAACAGCAGTAGGTAAGAGTGTTTTGAAATGGATGAGTGCACCTGCAGAGAGCTAATGGAGGGAGTGAAGTAACAGCATGGCATGAGTGAAACAAGGGAGATAAGAGTCTAGGCAAGCAGCAGAATTCTGAATTAGTTGTAGGAGGTAGAGTAGTCCAGGTAGGGAGCACCAGGGCCTGAACGAGAAGCTGTGTAGATGAATAAGTAAAGAAGGTGGAACCTGTGGATGTTGCTCAGTACGAAATGGAAAGAGTGGGGCTGGTTACAAATGTGATGGAAATAGGAGACAGAGGGAGGATTTGGGAGAGGGGGAGGGGCTGGTGGAGTCGAGATGATTATCTTGGTTGACAGAACAGGAAGGTGAGGAAGGGTAGTAAATAAGGTCAGACTTAGAGAGGATCAGTTGCGTTGGTGGGAGTGCATCTGAAGAAGAAAAAGATAAGAATACTTGAGCATCATCTGCATCAAATGGGGTATTAAAATGTTTTGGAAGCATGTCAGGGGACCTAGAGAGCTGCTGTAAAGAGAGAATAGCAGGGAACCCAACATAGAGCCTTAAGGGACACCAGGGGAGAGTGAGGCAGTCTTGCCAGGAGTCCCATTGAGTGTGATCATTGAGGCCAGAGGAGAGCCAGGTGTAAGTGGTGCCAGAGATAGCCAGGTCAGTGAGTGCTGACAAGAAGGATCACAAACGTGTGCGCTCCCCAGTGTCAAAGGCAGAAGAGAGGTTAAGGTGGATGAAGACGAATGAGAGAGAAGAAGAAGCACAAACGAATGACAAGGGCATAGGTAACTGAGAAAAGAGCACATCCAGAGGAGTGCGTCGAGCAAAATGAAGACTGGTGGGGGTGAAACAGTGAGTGCAGGGCTAGCAGGTGGGATTTCAGGGTTTGGAAGAGAAGGGGTGGAATAGAATCTTCAAGGGAAGAAAGATTGTGGGTGGGCTTATTTTAAAAGAGAGGTGTAATGCAGGATTCTGTAAAGGAAGAGAGAAACCATTCTGTGAGAAAGAGGCCTTGATGGAAGTGGACTGGAAGGTGGCTGGGTGGAGTGTCCCGAATACACTCGGTAGGTTTATGACCCAAGAGCGAGGAGATGAACGAGGAGAAGGGAGGGTTAGTGGAGATCAGAGAGGGTGGGGAGTGAGGTGTGAGGATGGAGGTGAAGTGGTGAACGTGTAGTTAATAGTAATTAATGCCATTCTGGTGAGCCTGCATTGAAATGTGTACTAAATTTGAAATATGAACCAGACTAGCAATATTGGTCTTAACTTCTATAATAAATCTAAATGTAAATAAATCAAGGTAAACACTTTGGAGAAATATGAAGGTAAGCTATTTGCGGAAAGCAGTTTTTATTAAAAATAATGCAGTTTTCTCATTAAGAAACTGTAAAACGCACAAAAATAATCAAGGTACCCTAACTATGTGAAAGTATATTACGTATACATTGTTTTAACCTTAAATTGCAAAGTGAATAGCATAATTATATTTCTGTCAACATGTAGGTTAAAAGGAGTGATTTAGTGCCTTTTCTTTAATTCAGTTGGGGGCGGAAAATGTATTTTCTCTCCTCTGCTGTGTATTTGCACTGGGGAGCTGGCAGTTATGAATGGGACTTCACAGCAGATCAAACAGGAAGAAAACACTGCCATGAGCTGGGGGGTCAATCAGTCAGTTGCTAGGCAACACCTTCTCACCTCCGATTGGCTGGAGCTGAATGAAAAGCAGCTCCATGTTACATAAGTTTGCCTTTATGCTCCCAAGGAACGAAACAAAAAAAAGAAACAGCTGCTTCTTTGTTGCTTGGTAGTATTTAAAAGAAAAAAAAAATGCACAATATGTAACCTTTACTTTTTTTGTTCTGGTGGAGACGAATCAGGATGTCTGATAGCTGAATTTCAGTGGGTTTTTGTCAAACTCACCTGGAGTTCAAGCTGGATTCAAATTGCTGCACTCAATGTAATTGCCCAATTTGCATTACCAGTAATGCACACTTCATAGAATGTATTTTAATCAGTTAATTAAAATTTCCTAACAATCATTTCCCTTTTCAGATATAAAAGCTTGAAATTATTTCCTTGTTTGTGGTAAATGACTTTGAATACACTTCTAATCCCAAACTGTAATAAAATGTACATTGATTGTAAGAAAATCTTGGTACACACTTCCTGATCCCTCATTATGAACACTGACTTCATTTGGCCGACTGTGACAGCCTGAAAAATGCCCTGATAATTACAGGGAGGTCATGCTATAATTACGTTTAAGAGTTTTCTTTACATGATAATTAATTAAGTCTACTTTCTTTTCATTACATCATTTCACTTCAAGAAAAGTAAAAATGTGCAGCCCAGCTGGGTGTAGAGAGTTTTTGGCACTTTCCACCACTGATGAACTCCTGCATTCAGCGAAAGCTATATAAAAATGCACCCGGCTCGAGCTGCGTGCGCTGAGGATCGGATTATTGAACAGTTTTTGGATAATCCTGCTTAAAGGCTTCGTGAATTTTGTTTTATTACTTTGGCAAAGTTCCTCTACCTTTGTTTCCCCACTACATGTGGTTACTTAAACAGTGATTTTTTTTTTTTGGCAATGACAAAAATACCAGCATCTAGTGCCAGTGTTTGTATATACTGAAGTAAGATGGATAATCAATCAGCCAGGTATATTTTTTATGGGTTATTAATTACAGCGCTAGGGTTGTAGCGGATCACCTCCCAGATTCCCCAGTCTCAGCTCTTCAGTTCTCTACCATCTGCGTTCAGTCTTTTGCAAGTATTTTGCTAGACCAGTTGTGTGTCGTTGGCTCTTCTGCCTCTTTGTGCTGCCAAGGGGGACCCTCGGAGGCTGGAGGAGTATAATAATAATAATAATAATAATAATAATAATAATAACAATAATAACATCACTTTATGAACCCTTTACAATTTCTTGCATTAGGAATTGTCTTTTCGCATACCCCAGCTTGCTCTCCATGAGACACACAGACAGGGAGAGAGCCTGGGGTCAGAGCGCAAGGTCTGCCATTGTACGGCGCCCCTGGAGCAGTTACAAGTTACAAGCAGTTACATAAGCGCTACAAGTTACATGTACATGGTTTCTGCTGCTCTTTGCACCAGACTGCGTGTAGCAGCAACCCCCCTGCGCCCTCTGACCCCTCACAACCGGTGGTGGTGGAGAGCGGCCCGGTCCAGTACACGGAGGAGGATGTGGAGGAAGAGGAGGAGGAGGAGGAAGAGCCCTGTGTCAGTGCCCTGGAGCTCATGGGGGCCAATGGTGAGTCACTCTGGCACAGAAAAGCTCTCCTGTCCCGCCTCGGTCTTGTGCGTCTGCAGGCTTCTCGGGTGTACCTAGCTGGTAGAAGGCGTTAAACTGGTCCCGTTAAGCCGATAACTAGCTGATTGAGGTCGTGATGAGCCCAACTGGACTGAAAACCAGTAGACAGACCAGCTCTCCAGGACCGGGGTTGGGTGTAACTGCACAGAATGAACCAAATTTAAGGCAACTATACATGGCAAGAGACTCTGAAGACTTATGCAGATGAATGTTTTTTTTGTCATGCATAATTGTGTAGATTTAATTTTTTTAAAAATGAGAAACAAAAAATTAAAATAAACGAACCTCCGTAGCAAGGTCTGCGGTTCTAGTCCTGGAGAGCCAGGATGCCTTTTACACCATAATCTTAAACACAGTGGAGACTTCAGGTCATTAAAGTAAAAGAATGAAAAAACTGAACTTTGCATGGAGAAGGGCTTCTTGAAATCGTAAATGGCTGTTTTGGTGATTGTTTAAAAAAACACTAGGTCATAACACAGCATGTTACAGATCGCCAGGCAAAGAGAAAATCCTGAATTGTAATTCAGGGTCCCAGTGAGTTTATGGACCTGAGTTTAGAGAAACTGTCAGTCCTACACTTTTTCTTTTGCAGATTATGGCTATGAAGTGGATGATGAAGATGGATATTAGTGACGTTTTGTCTTCTCTGTGGATGTGTAATACTCTTCTGCTGCTTGGAAAGCTCAGTAGATCTTGAGCTCAAAGGAATGAGCACCATGAAACCAAAGGAACCTTTAATCTGAACTCCACAGACTGCGAATGTTAAAGGGAATTTGGAGGCCGGATCTCAAGAGACTGAAAAGGAGGGTACAGCTACACTCACCAATGTCAGGATCTCATACTTGAAATAAATAGTCTAGAATAACTTGAATTAAACTTCATATCTCATAACAGCCAGTGCAGCAGAAGTTGAATCCTTAGGGACTGTTTTTTTAAGGAAATGGGATGGGAAGGCATGGCTCCACGATCAAAGCAGGAGCAGTATTAATTCCTCATGAATCTTAAAGACTGTGTGCTGACAGTGTTAATCAAGATAACGGCAGAATAAATAAATTAGTAAGTAACCCAGCCATGTTTAATTAGCGAGGAGAAGGGATTCTGGAGTCGAATACGCAGGAGTGATTAACAACCTTTCACTGTATGAAACTTCAACATTCTGCATTTTGCTGTTTTGAATAATGTATATTTAACATGAAAAGGACACAAAAAGAAATTGAACCTCCTGTGAAGAAATGTTATTGAAATGATATGAACGGGTGTGTTTCAGCCCGCGGAAGACGATCATGTGCAGCCCGGATAAAAACAGCAAAGGGCTTCCCTGCGGTGTTTTGTTTAGACAGGGCAGAAAAATGACACTGTATCGCCCACCTTGTGCTATGAATTTTATAGATTGACTGGCATCAGTCCATTGTGACTGTTTCTGGTAAAAACAGCAGTGTAACAGGCTGTGTGGTGCTGTGTACACCCTTGTCCTCCATAGAGATACTGCTAGAAGCCTGTCTGGATGGATGCAGATACTGGATTCCCTGTGGGATCAGAGCTCATGCCCTGCCTCTCTGTTGTCTTGCACATTTCACTGCAGTGAGAACATTATCCCAATTTCACTTGTGCATCTTCATAATACCAGTTATTCAGCTAAAATTATTTAAGTTACTTAGAACCACTAAAAGGCTAAACTATAACCCTACAAATACCTTATTACCTAAGGTTTCATGCAACTGTTGAAATGTTTAGGTGTTTGATGAATAATTCTAGTGGATATATAAATGGAATATCCGTCCTCCAGTGAAGGTTTATGGGCATGAAGAACCTCAGTTTGAATGACAAGTACATTTTGCTCACTAAATTCTCACTGCTGTCAGAGTAAGAATCTTGAGAATGTACTAAACACACATTTGAATATAGACTGCATTACAGTAAGTGAAGCTGTGTAACCAGACTACATCACAGCCTTACATTTTTTTAATTTTAAAATGAAAACAGCTTCAGTTTTGGCCTGAATATATAATTCTAGTTGATTTCAATCAATAGTTCAAGATTTGGTTCAACTGAAATACTGAGCTTTTCCTCACTGCAGTGTATTAATTTTTGGTGTTTAAGAAACCGCATAATTATTATAAGAGTAATGATGTAACTGAGAAATCTATTTTACTGTGTAATTATTTTTGTAACAAAAACTCACAAGCAGCAGGACCGAAAATGCTGTAAAGTTGTTGGTGTACAGATTGTACAGAAATACTTATGTATATATTGAATATGTAATTGTGGGCAAATAGTAAGTGTAAATCTATGAATCATGCTTTCATGTCAGTTGTAGTTGAAATTAAATATTTGCCAGTTAAACAAAAAAAACAACAAATATGTTTTTGAAATGAAAATCTGTTCCTGCTGTTGCTTGTTTTCTTACAGGGAACATAACATTTTTCACTGTGTGGTACTGACAGTTTAGTGGTGACATGTTTGGGAGCATTTCATCAATCTCTTTTAACTCATAAAGCTAGCTATGACTCCTATTTTCATTTTTTAAAGAAAAAATGACACTTCCATCGGGATTCCATCAGGATTGTAGTCAATTTACCAGTAGTACCTTCTTTAGGGTTCATTTTCATTGAAGCTGGCATGCTTTGGAAGGTTGCACATAATTAATAGTAATAGTTTTTATAGGTTCTAAACTTTCAGAAACAGAATAAAATAGTGTAGCGCAACAAGTCTCCCCAGCTTGCCGATGGTGGTACCCTATTCAAGCTGCCGATCAGAGGACCCAGAAGCAAGACCCAGACAGCTACATGTTCATGGCATTAGGATCTAACTTGTTCAGACTTCACTAGTGGAGAAACAGTCTTGAGATCTTGTGCAGAACTGCACCCCTTTAGTCTCCAACAATAGACAAGAGGAGGTTGTCTGATTTACAGCTGGCATGTAAAAATCTCATGGTTTGGGGAAGGGAACAACCCACAGGACTAGATAAATTCCAACCACTGACGGAGGACCTGAGGTCAGAGATGGGTTTCTTCCCAGACTGAAACTAGGACAGACTGTTGTATGCAGAGAGCCATGGGCGTGGGGAACAAGCTGCCCAGCTTTGTGTTTGAAGCTGTTTCTCAGTCATCCTTCAAAGAAACTGCTGAATAAGACTCAGCAAAATTGATTAACCGCTGGCAGCTCAACAGGCCAGGTGAACTGAAAAGCTGCCTTTTGTTCCTGTGCACCAGACTTTCCTGTTCATCCTACTGTATATCCACTGTGGTGATCGTTTTCTCTCTTTCACTTCTCAATACACATGCTCAATTGAGCAATGTCATTTCATATGAAACTGTTAAACCCTTTATTTCATAACCGATGGTCTGAAGGTTCAGATTTAGGCCCATTGTAAAACTGGAAGTTAAGTCTTTCAGCTATTTCTCTAACCCGAGCTGCATGTAGGTGAGTAAAACATTTTCTTTGAAAATCGTATTTGCTCTAACATCGGTGGTCCAACTGTCAGACAAGTTTAACATCTTAATATCTGACTAGAGAAATATTTGGATGCTAAACCTTTGATGGAAAATGACATATAATTATGTCTGTTCCACAGATCATGTTGGTTTCACAGAGTGAGGCAGCAGTGAAGAATATAAATAGGGAATCTAATTTACAGCCGCACAGAGAATCATTATAAATCTGGGAGAATAAATTATGTATTATTCTTCATGCAGTATTACAATAGTTATTCAAGCATCGCTGACATCTGGGAAATGGAATGTTTAAAGCATTTAAATTTCACTGATTTGCCACGTCTTTCATTGCAGATGGAGGGGATGTCAGAGTAGTTATTTCTTTATAATAGCGACACTTAGAATGGTTGTCTCATCATCAGATTATTTTGCTTTTATGCAACAGAACACTCAAAGCTGTGTTTTTGCGTTATACACCTACATGTACAAGAGTCATTTTGCTCAAGATGGTGATAAAGCAAATGCAATTTTCTTTAAATTACAGGGGGAAAAAACTTTCAAAAAGATCATTGGAGAGGGTTTTTTTTTGTGTGATTGTAATTCGCTGAAAAACATGTCGAGTGTGCTTTCCGCATAAGTGGGGCACATTTGTGTTCTTTTAGCTGGAGATGCAGAAGAGGAACCTGTAGTGTCAGCGAGTAGCAGTGGTGGTTCCACAGTAATGTTGCTGTCCTGCCCGTTAAGAAGTCCTCAGAATCGCTGTGTAGAAATACACCTCTCCGTGCTGAGAGTAGAGGAACTATTTCCACAGAGTGACCAGCCAACAAGCATGCTGTTACGCTTGCTCAGCGTGTCCACAGCGTCTCACAGAGATACAGGGCGGGCAGGATGAGCTCTGTACCAGCAGGACCCTGCTCCCTGTTCCCTGGACAACCCTCCTGATCAGACACGGGAAACTCCAGAGGGACTGAGAGATCAGGGTGGGCCAGGAAGGCGTGTGAGCTGGCAGTCTGAATTCTGTCTCTGGTGCATTTCACACCTGAGTGCAATTTCCATTACTGTGCTAAAAAACAGTCGGTCTCCACATACAATTGTGTATTACACTATCGATTTCCTGCAGCTGATGTAAATCTTTAACATAGCCGAACGGCCTCCTTCACTCCTGTCTCTCAGTTGCACTCCATTGACCCACTTTACTTCTTCAAAGTACTACTGTTTGAGCACAAGTGATCTAGAAAAAGCCCATTGATCCAGCAGTGACCGTTGTTTACAAAGACTTCTGGAGACAGCCAGACCTTCAGAGAGAGCTGTGTGCCTGCAGTGTCCACTCTGGATCCCATTGTTGTAGCCATGACAACTTGCATTGTTTTTCCAGCCCTTCTGCTCTTTCAGTTCTCAGTCATTGTCCTGCGGTGATCTGAAGGACAGGACAGTCATGATCATTTTTTCTCCTAATTGGAGACTTGTGTTCTCCCCCGCCCCCCGCCAAATACATCTGTTCGCATAAAAACGCAATGTGCAGTGTCATTTTGGAGCCTAGCTAATTTGATCCACTCAAAGATAACCCAGTCTAGCTTCCCAAAAACTCTGTTCTTGAGGCGTTTCAAAGAGAACTTGTGTATTTGATCGGCATGGTTTGGTTTTTAGCTCATTCTTCTCCCTTCCTCCCATGTTCACTGAACACCCGCATATTCCTCTGCTTAACTTTGAAATGAAACACAAATCCCTGTTTTGAGCCATATTGTAATAAGCAAAGAAGTTTCATCTTAAAAAGGCAGCAGAATTCCCCAGGTGCCTCAGGGATATCAGGGTTTTGATGTATCTCTTTGTCAGCAGAAGGTGCTTTTCATCTGCCTTATCGGTTCAGTTACATGGGCGGGACTGGGGGCAATTATTCATCACTGAAATGATTCTGCAGTTGCAATATTTTTACCTCAAAATATGCCATTTCAAATTGGTTGGATACTTAGCCAACTTTTAACTGCACTGATTTGTGTTGTAATTGAATCGCCATGGAAAGAGGGGAGATTCAAAATCATATTTTTTGAGGCAGGAATTAAGACGCAGCTGGCTCGGTATTTCCATTTGTGGATAAAAAACATCACTAGGGTTTTTATTGATCACTTTGTGGAGAGAAGCCATCGTTGGAGATATTAAAGCTCTTAATGTTCCTTTCCGCAGGTCTGCTCCTGGGAGAGGGGTGCTGAGAACTCGGCTTTAAGACTTAATCCAGAGCAGATATGGGTTCATAAAACTGATTAGAAATGAAAAGATGAGCTAAACAAGATTTCAAGATCCTTTGAAAGGGACACCTTAAACAAATTAAAAACAGTAAAATTGGCTATATTACCCACAGTATGCCATTACCTTAGGACTAAAAGCGGATTTAAAACTAATTCTTTAAATGTAAAAATTTGAAATTTAATTTTTTAAAGTATTTTCACAGTAATAGCCCATATATTTCTGGTTGAAAAAAAGCACATTTCTTTGGTCCTAAATTTTCAAGACTATCCAGTATCGGTGCATTTCTGGGGTTATAAAACAGGTTCAAATTACTGGCACCTTAGGATCAAATGGTTTGAAACTTTAAACTAAAACTGTCTGACTGAGCAATAGTATCCTGCGAGATACAGGTTCACATTTTTTTATGTTATACAAATGTAATCGATATCCTAATGCAGACACTTTTCAGGTAACTCTTGGACTGGTATTGAGTTTCTTTTGTGGTTTTATGGTTTTCTTCTCATTTGTTAGCTATGTTGTTTAATTCTGCCTGCCTCTCCTGTGTACAGTATATGATCCCTGCAGGCAGAGCACTATGCATTGCTGAATACACATTGAATGTTGATGTGGAGATGTTATTAAATGACAAGATTTAGTACCAGAAGTTCTAAAATATAAAATAATACAAGTTGGTACTCTAGTTTTCTCATTAAGGATTGAGAATCCCAGCAGGAGTCAAATTGTTTTCCAATCACTCTAATTACTTTAGGTAGATGTTGCTGACATCCAACTGAGAGGTATTAAAAAATGTACACTAGTTGTTTGCTGTTTCTGGCAACACTAAATTGCATAAAGTAACAGCATCTGTAATTAATAATGTTCTCTTGGTTTCCAGGTTGCACTGTCACAAGTGAGCAGCCACCATGTATGTTATAGGTGTACAGTATGTATGTCGGTGTCAGGTTCTATTTAGCGGATGCAGCCTTTATATACAGGATGACCCTGCAAGTTGTACGTATATGTATAAGTTGTATATATGTATATATTATTCTGGTATTTTTTACTAGGGGACAAACGGTTTAATTTACAGTTTTACACATTTTCAAATGTTTTCTTTAATCCTGGTCCTAGAAGATTTAAATGGATTAAGTGAATTTAAATTATTTGTAATTGAAAATATCTTTTAAAAAAATTAACCCCCCCAGTTTGTGCCTGTATTTAGGGACACTGTGATAAATGTAATCTCCCCTCCCCATTAAATTGTTTTAGAAAGCGTTTCTGTAGCAACGAACTCAACTTGTCATAGGTCAACAGTCAATTTTTGTTTTACGTGAAATTGGTCCCATAGACACCAGTGTCTGGTGGTACTAGGTCTCAGGTTTCACTTCTTTTCATTGAACACACAAAGAGACAAACGAGGTTTTGCTAACAGTAGGTCATAGACATTTCTGACTAAGAGAATTGGTGGCATGTGAATTATGTTGCACGTCAGTCCCCTCTAATAACTGTCACTGTGTGCAAGTGCTCACAGCTAAGGAGGATTTTATCCAGTAACAAGAGCGTAAATTTAAACATGAGAACAGGAAGCACCTCTACTCTAAGGGTTTTGCGATCTTTACTCTGTTCCATTGTTGAGGACAGGTATTCTGACTTTATTCAAGGGGTAAATGAGTTCCTATGATCAGTTAATCATTA